GCCCTCCTGGCCGTGGTGTACCGTGTGTACCTGGTCATGCACCGTGCTGTGCCCGCGGACCTGGCCGAGGTGGAGAAGATTCGCTGGCTCGACGAGATGGGCAGGATCAACTGCATTTATATATAGCACTATGACATAAGCTCAGCGGTATGCTCTATATGTGTCACGACGCGGTGGAATCAGGCGCTCGTCAATGTTTGGGCAAGTGGAATTATTGGGATCTTCTGAAAGTTTGTCCATTTGTCTTGCTTTCGATGAAAAAAACATATTATCCATTTATCTTGTACAGAAGTCGAGATATATACAATTGAGGATGGTGGGGTCGCCTAGTTTCGGAGGTAAAATTTGCGCCAAAGTTTAGTTGCTTCCATAGTTTGAGAGTACTTGGAAATTGAAGTTTTACATGTTTGTGCCTTTAATCCTTTTTCGGTCAAATCCACTCAAAAGTATGTTTTTAAATGGACATAAACGAAGTTGAGCCAAGAAAAACAAAATTCGAGGAAAATTGCCAATCTCCGGAAATATGCTGTTTTCTTTGATTTCATTATTTTGACAAGCGCCTGATTTCATCACAATGCCTCACATATGCGTTTTACAACTATAATTACCCCAATTGACTCTATGGCGAGAGTCCGTGAGATTCTACCCACCGTGGGTTTCCTTTCGATTTCATAATCGCTGTTTTATTATGTTTCTTTGCATTTTTACAGATTTTTTTTCCTGCAACATATTTATGTCCATTAAAAACAAATTAATGAGTGGATAAAAAAAAAATTGAAAGACGTTGATCAAAAGCACAAAACACATGCATTTTAAATTTACAATGACACTCAAACTTTGGAAGTGACCAAACTTTGGTTGACATTTTTTCGAGAATTTGACCTTAGACACCAGGCAACCCTCCGCAAACAGAAGAAGAAACTTTACTATGATATACACAAGTCTTTACGCCCAAAAACTGACTGCACCTGATTCAACCGTGTTGTGACACATTATAGGATAATTTTCCTGTGCGTGTCCTTCGGAGTCCTACAAATTGCACTCACTGTTGACACACAAGAATATTTCATTAATAAACATGCACAGTGTAGTTTGTTATACAAAAATGACATTTATATGCCGCTCAGCCCCGATTAAATACACAGGCTCTGGACGTTTTACAATACACCACCAGTAACAAATGATCAGTACATGGTGTTCTGACCAAAGTAAAATCTCTTTCTAATTTATCTCATCAATTTTAAAACAGAAATAACTGAAGCTGACATTTGAATGAATGAAAGGAATTGATCTCTTTTAAATAACAGGGTAAAGCATTTAAGATCTTGGCGCCTTGATATGCAAATGCCCATTAAGTTTGATAGATGGCAAATGGTTGGATGGTGGGTACTCTGGTGCGGTTAGCTCCTTCTTTCCTATCAAACAACTATCGTCCTGATCTCTCCTCCTTCTTTTTTTGTTTCTCCTGTAACACCTATAAACGTCGTCACTTATTTGACGTTATTGTGTTGCAAGTGCCGTAAAGCTCTTACCAAGACTAAAACTAAAAAAAAGGTAATAAAAGAAATTTCTTTCTTGATGGTACATGCAGTTTATTATATAATCCGAGGGGGGGAGTAATTAGAATCAGGCACCCACTTTT